TGAACCCTGGATGCCCTGCATGGAACTGCTGCAGCACTCTTTCTTGCAACGCCTGCGGGATGACTACTCTCTCTGAGAACATGATGCAATCGTTCACAATGGAGAGCGAATGTCTTCGCTGATAGAACTGCTGCATTTCGGCAGGTGAACACGAACGTGGCCAGCTGGTTATGTGGAAGTGTGTAACCTTCTTCGGGATTGGATCTCGAAGCGTTTCGGCCCGCACAGCTTCCGCCGTAACTGGCAGACCATGTAGTGCCTCGCTCACCGGGAGTTTGACATCAGGTTCGATCTCAACTGAGGCTATGATGGTGTCCTCGTGTTCTTGCTGCTGGGAATCAATGAGGAGTGACAATGCATCTGCCTGGCCCATCGAAACCGTTGACTGATAACGGATTTCAAAATCATAGCTCAGCAAGGTGAGTGCCCACCGTTGGAGTCGATTCGGTATAGGCAAGAATGCCCTTCCCCGAGCCGAAAATGGCCAGCAGCGGCTTGTGATCCATCAAGAGTTTGAAGTGGCGACCATACAGCATTTTGCGAAATTGCTTCACAGCAAACACTATGGCCAATGCCTCCTTCTCGATCTGACTGTAGTTTCTTTCGGTTTTCGCCAGCGTTCTGTGCGATCGCCTTCTGAGATCCATCTGTGTACGTATATGAAACTGTGGCATCGATGCTTAGACTCCACGCAATTGTGGCGAGGAAGTTTCTCGAGACGAGATAAAGTGAGTCGGGAGTAGGTGTGAAGTCAGCAATGACTTGACGCTCTCGAACGCAGTCTGGCATTCTGGCGTCCAATTACAGGTTTGGCCCGTGCTCAACAACTTGTTCAGCGGGGCACGCAGGCGATGCAGTTCGGGCAGAAAAGCGCTGTAATGACTGGTTAGACCACAGAATGAACGCAGCGATTGTAAGTCCACAGGTGGAAACATCTTTTGAATAGCTCGGATATTTTCTGGATCAGGGCGACGACCGTCTTTTGCGAAAATGAAGCCGGAGAAACTCGATGGTTGGTGCAAAAATGTGCACTTCATGGATACGGAAACCATATGATTGGGTGCGTTCAAGCACTTCAGCGAGTCGCCCAAATAGTTCTTCTGCCATCCCACCCGTTAAAATGATATCATCCAGGTACGCCGCGGTTCCAGGAACTCCCGCGAGCATAGTGTCCATCAGCTGCTGGAAAATGACTAGTGCTGTTTTCACTCCAAATGGGAGGCGGTTGTACTGATACAGCCCACGATAAGTGTTGATGGTCAGCAATTCTCTCGAGCCTTCATCAACTTCGACCTGGAGGTAGGCATCGGACAAGTCGAGCTTGGCGAAACACTTCCCACCATTCAGCTTGGCGAATATATCCTCTGGTATCGGAAGGGAGTATTGATGGTCGTCCAATGCGGTATACAAGCCAGTCGAAAAAGCGGTGCAGACACGCACTTTACCGGTCGGCTTTCAGACAGCAACGATCAGCGCCGCCCATGAAGAGTAGTTCACTGGTGTGATGACATCGGCTCGGTCCAGTTGGTCGAGCTCCTGATCAACTGCTACCATGGCTGTATATGGTACCGAACTTTTTGTTCTGAAGACTGGCTTAGTTCCTTCGCGAAGGCACAACTTTGCTTTGAACTTAGTGCAGTGACCGAAATCATCTTCAAACAAGGCGGCGAAATTCTGCTTTGGCTTTCTTGTCATGTCTTCTATCGACAATGATGCACGGACTGGATCGGTTTGGACTCCATCGTAAATCTGACTTATTGGAAAACCAAACAGTTGTAACTTTTCCATCCAGTCAAGCCCAAGGAGGTTCAAGTTTGGTCGGTCAGACAAATAGCAGGTTCCGGCCTGTTGAACGCAATTTCACAAGTTATTTCTCCGACCAGCTTCAGCACTCCACCGGATGCGTTGCGGGCGACTTTGTTGGAATCAACCATCTTCGGCCTCTTTATGTGCCTCCAAGTGTTCTTGGAAATGATCGTTATATCTGATGCCGTATCGAACTGCAGCCTGGTTGGGATTCCGTTGACGAGCACAGTGATAAATCGGCGGCGTGTTCTAGAATCGCTGTGAAAAGTGGCAATCACCGATAGTGATTCTGAGTCTGGCTTCCTGAAGTTCTTCCTTCGGTAATACTGCTTCACGTTTCTTGATCCGGACTGATGACAAAAGTCTTCCTTGTGGCCGCGTTTATGGCACTTATCACAAATGTGACGCTTGAATGGACAGTATCGTGCGAAATGCCATTCACCACATGACCAACAAGATGTAGGCGGCTTGTTCGGCGCTCTGTTGAACGGCTTGTTCGAGCCAGCCTTTCTTGCTTTTTGCACAGCATGAACAGTATCGGCAATGATGGGGCGACTCCGCTCAATCATAGTAATGTCGTGCTTCAAAGTAATCAACCGTTTGCATTCACCTACAAGAGACTTCAATGTCAAATCTGGATCTTGATCCAACCTAACAAGGAGACGAGTGCGGAGTTCCGCGTCGCGTGGAGACTGTAAAGCACTGAGAAATATGAGACACTTAAACTGGTCATCTGTCAAACAGCGTAATTTGAAACGTTCACATTCACGGTTAATTATCTCTGCTAGTGCCCCATAATCGCCCGTATCACGCTTAACAATTTTAAGACATTGGTAGCGAATGCTAACCAAAGACGTTGACTCACCAAAAATTTCTTTGAGAGTTGCCAGTGCTTCGTTGAAAGTGATGTCCTTCGGCCCTTTGGGCAGGATGTGGTCAACGAATCTTGAATGTTCGTTGGTACCGAGCTTGCGGAGCAAAAGACGCACTTTCCATGAATCAACTTGACGGCTGAAATCCGTCCGGAACATATCCTCAGAGCAGTTGAACAATGCCTCGAAAGTGAATTCGGAATTAACATCATGATGAAATCCAGTGATTGAATTCGTAAGAGGACCAAGTGAAACAGCCTGCGTGACCCGTGAAGCTTCTCCGTTTGAATGTACGTTCAAGCACTGCGTCAAACTTTCAACCAGTTTCATTTGTGCCTCCATCTGGAATTGTTGCTGAAGAAGCAGCTTTAGAAAATGTTCGCCGGAAAAGTAACATTTTCGTGCTTGTCCGTCGCCATTGTTAGATCTGCAGTTTTTCTCCCTATTCCAAACTAAACATCCAAAATCTCACCGCAAATATTCTAACCCAGCCGAAGAAAAATCAAAAGTCCAACGACCTTGATCGCGAAATAGGTGTTAAAAACGCTGTACAAACTACGCCAAATATATAGGGGCCTTAACTACCTTCGGCTTCTAGAAAACGAAGGTCAACTGGGAAAATTAGCAGCTTTCCTGTCAAAACTCCGCATGCTGGCGATCACTTGAAAGAATAGAAGGTTCCGGAATCTTCGTTTCCGGGTTAGCGGCCCTGAGACGCTGGAAGCGGAAAAGGACTTCATACTCAAGACAACGAGTACCCAACTGCTTTCGTTAAAACGCTCCAGGCTGAGGCGAAAATGACTGTGAGGTGAAAGTACGTCATCCTCTCACTACTTCTCAAACGAGACATACGGTACGAGCTCTTGAGTAGGAAAATGTCTTCCGTGTTGAACCAAACGTACCTGATCGTCATAGTCTGCATTCACGCCGGAACCGCTCAGCTCTTCGCCCACCACCTAAAAGAAAGTATTCTGGCCCAGTCCGAATCCTTCGTTCTCTAACAATTCACTTCCACCTGTGGTTCGAGGTAAGTGGGACACATGACCAGACGTTTGTCAAAGCGGAACACTGTCCTACTTCATTACGTGTTACCACCAGGAATGTCCACAGCTCGTTCCTAGAACACCTAGTAGACAGTGGACATGACATACAAACGAAACATGCTTTCCGATTACGGTATTGGGTAGCAAAACGCTGCCTGAGAGGATTCAGTAAGCGTCTGCTGGTCACAGCGACTCAAGCCTAGGCTGTGTAAACAGTGCGTACTTCTGCAAAGTTTAACCCTACCGTGGCCCTAGCCTAGTCAGCTGACTTAGACCTAGTGGTTTCTGGTGGTGGGTTTTAATTGAGATCGATTGTCACCGTCCCTTCGGTCGCAGCATACACGACAGATAGCCGCATCGCTAGTCATAGCTTCCATTCAAAGAGTTACTAATCTCATCATTGTAATTGCCTGATGAGTTACTAAAAAGAAATTTCCGCGCAATTTTCCTTCTGAAAGCAGACTCACATAACGATGCATGTGATTGAAAGATCTGTTTGATAGCTCAAACGATGCATTCCAATCGGTGTATTGTATACCAGGACGCCACACACGAGCTGTCAGATGCCGCTTTCTGTCGACAGCGGAGACAATCGTAATTTGGCTCCATAAGCCGGATTTGTGTGCACAGAGGAATTTTGTGCAGACCCTCTTTCTGTCCTGGCCACAGACTAACACGAGTAATCATACCTATCGCGCCATGTCCCCAGACTCTAAACAGGTCGGGATCATCACCTAGCCTTATCGATGTTGAACTTTGATTTATTGACGCCTATAATGCACGTGTACATTTTTTGATCTACATGGTTATGGTTCTAATAACCTGACGATGATTCACTGAAAACTAGCTTGTTCCCTACATGCTACTTCCGAAAGGAGAACTCTCGGGTGCATACTTACAGCGTTGTTGTGACTGGCCCTAAATGGTGTTTAGTAGAAACGCAGTGCGTGTAACCGGACAACAAACCGACGTGTGACGGAAGGAAGTTCAAAGTGTGCGCTCGTTATTCCTGGACGGCCGACATGTAAGTGGAAATCATCGTAAGGTATCAACTTCTACGATGAATACAGAAATGCGGTGTTTAGAGGCCACTATCAAAAGAATGCTCGGTCGCGAGAATTCTAGCACAGATGTATGAAGAACAAAGCTGCTAAATGAGATCGGCGAACCAAAAAGAGGAGAGATCCATTGCAAAACAACAGCTGGAATCTGTGAGTTAAACGAACAGAATCTTCCGGCTCAAATGCGCTCAAGAATTTTTGGATAACTATCGCTTTGGTGACGTGAGTGGAGAAGTGGATAAACGATTGCTTTTAAGTGGTTATATTGAAGGTGGCCTGAGATGCCGCGATTTTTTGAATTACATTAGAAAAAGGTGCATTTTTTGCAAAAGAAACAGATTCTATGTCTGTACAGAAGAGTAAGAGAGCTAAAACTCAGAGACCTGAAGGGGAACGAAGCACAAAACGCAAATGCGTACAAGCAAACGCACAAGATTCCAGATTGTGTGACCGTCTGCAGATGAATGTGAAGAGAGATATCAGAAGTGGGAATAAAAGTACAAAGTAGAAAAGTAAATCGAAAAAATTGACACTGATGTAAGCAGCTTTGCTGCGATAGGAATGAAAATATGAGGCATAGGATGATTCTGAGGAAGTCAATATTTGAAAATGTTCGTCAATAGCAGAGAATAGAGCAGTAAATGGTAGGGACATAACTCGAAAGACGGTGGCAGCGGAGTGGCAATGACAGCGCTCAGAGAACCATACAGGTAACGTGTGTCGAGACTTTCAAACAGAGTGTATTACTAGGAGTCTCCAGAGGAATAGGCAGTGGCCGGCGGAGAAACAGCAGTGCCTGAAAGAAAGTAAAATGATAGATATGTGACTGATCAAATGCGGCTTAATGAGTAAGCAAAACAAAGCGAAGAGACATTGTCACTCCCCAAGGGCAGTCGGAACGCCTCTGGTTAGGAAGTGTCCCCGTTTGCGATCACCGAGTATGTTGAAAATGTAAGTTATCGGCAGCAATGTAAAACATATATTCATGCTTCATGTTAGCAAATGCGAGAGGACTGTGTGATAGATTGATTAGAAATGACAAGGGTGCGTTTCATTGTTGAGGCACGTAAAGTATGTGGTTCCGTAGTAGCATGACAGGAGCCGCGCCGGGACAGACTGCAGTAGTGAACGGAGAGACCAAACAATGTATGCTAAGATATAATGATTCGCTCACACTGATCAGTAAGTACTTGCGGAATTTTAGGATGAAGATTGGAATGTTAATTAAGGAGTCACTAGGTTAGACAGGACCGCAGAGCAATGGTGCAGACCACACATAATACATATGATTTCTAGACTCCAGGAAAGCAATACAAGAAAAACAAAGTCAGTGTAAAAACAATGCACATTTCGAACATCGATAAAGAGCTCCCTGTCCTATTAGCTCAAGCAACAAAGTATTTAGTGTCTCATTTGTGAAGATCGCAAGGATGAGGATGCCAATATGATCCTGTGCCTTACCGTCTGCGCTCAATACCCTGCAACCCTCAAGTGTACCTTCTAGGTATATCTTTTGGCTAAGAGACATGTAATGGTCCCACACCTAGCTATCCTTAACTTCTGCCAATATCTGTTCACTTAAGAAAACAGGATCCAACGGAAGTCTCAGAAACTGATAACCGGCGACAAATTAGCAACTGAAATCTGCAAGAATTGCTAGGAATTTCGATGTGCTTCGACAAATCGTGCAGACATTAAACAGAACACGCTCGAGTGATTCGCTTGTCGAACTGTGTAGTTGGACTACGGGAGTTTCATCAATAATCGAGATGCCATTTTAAGTAACTGATAGTGCATAGTCTGTTAGCAAATCGGATTCCATGGTGTTGGTTGCACAACTCAGGACTGACAAGTATAAGTATTGTACAACCGTTAAAAATCTCATGGTTGAGCGAATAAGCGAGGACCCCTAGATAAACCGCACCACAGACAGCAACTCGCCGCATACACTACTGTCAACAGAAGGCGATGATGGACGGGTGCGTCAAAAATCGAGTTTTCTCGAGTGTAAAACAGATTCAAGTAGCTAGGAACTTGGGGACACTTCTACGCTCAAATAGGGTGACGCACCAAGGCACTGTTGAATGGAAAGACGAAGTGACAGTTGAAGTTGAATGGTAAATAGGGTAAATGGGGTCGATGTACTCTGATCGACCCGGTGCGCAGATGCAAAATGGTGCAATAAGCTAAGTGAAGAAAGATATGCGAATCCTCTCGACTTGCACTCAGGATGAGAGTATACGTAGGTCAGAATAACTACAGTATAAGAACAAAAGTGAAAGACGGTATGCAATCGAGTTAACAGAAACTAACATCGGGCGTTGCTAGCAAATATTCCGAAAGCAACGAGGAAATATGCCAACTCGTTTGCAGTAGCCCCATTGTAGCGTTTCAATACAAATGGGACCACAGTAATGACAAAAAAGAAGACAAGAAAACATGGCTATGGAACCCGAAGTAAATTATTAGACGCATCGGGCCACATGTGGTGTTCCAAGTGAGTGGAGTAGTTGCATGAAGTAAAGACTAACATTTGAGTATGGATATGGCTGAGACAACTATCAGAGAAATGTGCAGGTGGAAAAGTGATTATTATGCAGTACCCAATAAGATGTGCACAAAAGTGGGTGCTCACATGAATGAGCGTATGAAAAAGAGACTAATGAGCAATAGTAACAGCATGGACAGAAGGAAGAGCGACGATATACGCCAGCAATAGCTGCAAATGAACGACTCCACTATGGGAAGGTTGTGTCCACTCACGTGGAACGCTGATGCGCCACTTGTCACAAGGTACCCCCGCGCGTCATCTACTTCACAATGAAGCACACATCCCCATCTAGCCAAACTGATGCCTGAAGTGGAAAATTGATTGTACTCTAATTCAGTGTGTGAGCAACTTTGTGTTCGACTTTGGTATGGGTCGTACAATTACAGCAGGATGCGCCCTTGTCATGTGCATGTGAGGGTTACTTGGTTGAGTAGTGGTCTTATTCATCGTTCACTTAGCAGGGAGAATTTCGCGGGACCGAAGTCGATCCGAATTCCGTTCAAATACTTTGTGAGGAAAATAATAAGGAACCGGCAATTCGTCAGTTTCGATTAGGATCGGTATAAGAGTTAGGATCATGGTACCGCGACGTGGTTGAAAAGTTCAACTCCGACGCGTTCAATGCTATTTTTCACACAAGGATGTCCAGAAAGATATTAAATATGTCACACTTCAAACGACTCGGAGTGTAAACCCATTTGCGAAATTTGTTAAAAGCAATCAATACGGAAAAGTCGCAAGGTCACACGCATCCCTAATTTATTACGAAGGAAATGGGGCTGAGATCGCGCTGACTCAGACATAGTGCAAGTAATTAAAGGAAATGAACACTTTCTCTCAGGTCAGTGTATAAAGAAGAGAATCACATGTAGCTTCTGAGAGCGAGAGTACACTGGTAAGAAACATGAATAAGATGATTAGAGGGATGGCTAAAACGAAAACGATTTCGAAGTGCAAAAGCATACTCTGCTCTATCTTTTGGTTTAACGTTACGGCAAGGAAAGTTAAAACGATATCTTTTACAAATGCCGGTCACGCTTGAAGTACTTAAGTCTAACCGCTGCGCAAGTCATGTTGGAGTGCAGGGATTAAAACCGATTGCACAACAAGAATTGGATTTAACTCAGATTTACCGGTAAATCGGTGTATGCCTCAAATCATCATTGGCTGGTGCCTTATAAGTAAATAAATAAATTGTATATTCTCGCCTTCAGCGAGACAAGTAAGTACTGTAAGTACGAGAAGCGCATCACCTAAGCTGCAGGCGATACATGAAAAGACAGTAAAATATCCGGATGCCAATGCTACTACGCCACCCGTTATTGCTGTCAAAAAGTGACGTCCAAGTAAAGCCAGTTACTGGTAAACTACCTAAAAAGAACGAAGCAACTGACCCAAAGCATAAACAGGTTGCTTCCACGGATTCTGCTCTAAGTATCATTGGAAATATGCAGGCCATTAGAAATGAACTGGATAAGCTAAAATGCAAACTGACAACCATGGATAGTTTTCGTCTTATCCTTGATAAAACTGAACCTTTAGCTAATCTTATACAAATACCATCCAGTCCAGCGGTCGACCACTCAATTCCTATAGGGACATTTGTTGATACAATAGCCCCGGTTTACATTAGGGCGCGAAGTGCTCAAAAAATGCATAACTCATTATTATTCCCGAAGTAATTGCCGTAACTTCTGTACGGAATATTTTGTATAGAGCAAGGGACATGGCCTAATGTACCGTGCATTTTCACGAGGATGAGAAAGAGAATCCAACATCGTACCTGCCCCATCCTGTTTCAATTTGCAGATGCTTTGACTGTTACTGAGTTTATCAATAAACGTGCCCAAATTTCGGACAAAACCACGTTTAAGTCCCTGAAAATTGCGGCAGATAAAACGCCCTTGCAAAGGGAGCTTTGGCGAAGACAGACAGTTTCTCCCCCATCCCTGGGAACGCCACACAAAAGCACTGTAGCCTGTGTGTCATCTACTGCTACCACGCCTACAGAAACCACTAACGTGCTCGACCACAACATGGAACCTGACAATTTTACTGACATACTACACATCGCTGAAACCACCTACCCACATTCCCCTGGTGCGGTAAGTATCCCTGACGAAACTCCAACAGTGGCGATTAAAACTGCTGAAATAACCTTTTCCGCGGAATGGCGAACCACGTCCGCCGGCTGAAATCCAAGTTAACTGATGAAGGAGAAAATAGTACAGGGTGTTCGGTCACTGGTGATGTTGATGTAGATACTTTCGGCCATTCGTTGAGTAACCCGGAGTCTAGCCATAATGATGGTCGGTTATACGCCGCAGTGAGGTATCATCGATCATCGAGTGGAGAGTTCGTACTTTACACTCATGATAAATCAGGCAAAACTGCCACACCAAGACCGCAAACGAGTGCTGCCACCCAGACGGGTTGCAGGCGAACTCTCGATCCATTGCTATCCACAGTGTCCTAGCTTTTAACACTGCAGACTCTGTAGACATTCTAGGGGCAGAAAATGCTATTTGCGCTGCAACCGCGCTTCAGGAAGCAACTAATAGGGTATTCCACCACCATGACTTAGAAGCACAGATGTCAAGAACTGGGTCTTGACACTTATGGTTGCGGAGGCTGATAGGTTACCTACACCGAATCATCAACCATTCTGTGTCTGTTGACGTCGATAGTGAATACACAAATACCAGTGAACGGTACCAATTCAGAAATAAGACGATGAAGCTTCGTGTGCCATGGCGCCGAATAAGGACAAGGGAGAAACTTTTCCTGGTAGTGTACTCCAGGATATGGAACAAACTGCCTGAAAATATACGGCAGACCAAACCAATTAAGAAGTTTAAGAGAGAAATACAGGGGTACGTCACACAGAATACTGTAACAAATATGCTGAGCAAAACGGGAGAGTATGGATTGCATAACTTTATGCGCTCCTGAGCTGTATTCATAGTATACCCTCAATGTTAGTCTAACCCCGCGTTTTATTTCCATTATAACTTTAAACCTACTCTTGGTTAGCTTTCTACAATAATTCGTCGTTCCTCTACTTTCTTTCATGCTCCCTTGATCAAATGGTTATTGGATCTTTGTGATCGACCGTCCCACTCTGAAGGCTTCAATTGGCCGCATATTTCGATGAAGCACCCATGTCTGCGGGGGTGCTATATACTTTAATTGGATCAATTGTACTACACCGTATTCCGCACAAAACCCTGTCCGGAGTGCAACATTCTTTCTTTCTCTCGCAATTTCTGTACCGTCGCCGCCACTCATCAATATTTTCCATCAACTTCAGATTGGCCAATCAGTAAATAACTAAATGATCGAGTTTATTTTATTAAGCCAATTGTATACTCTCATTTATTTCATACTTGGTCACGAATGGGCTGATTTCTTGAGGTGACGGATTACAGCTTCCAAGTAAAAGGATCATATCCATGCGAGGAATATTGCCTTTGACTCACTAGTGCTGTCGGCTGTGAACCACAGTGCACTGTCATTATTATGACCTGTAAAAAGAAAGTGCCTTGCACACAGTTGACGAATGCTAAACGGGCTAGGTGACCTGGTCGCCCGAATGCTAAAAAGCAGCCCTGAAAGATGTAAACAAGTGAGGACCTAATTGCCACACCCTGCATGGAAACATGTCCCCGGAGACAGTTCCATAGATGGCTGTATTAATTTACTTGAACATTTATTTACATATGCATCTGTCGCTGTTTCCAGTTTTTGAATAACAATTGTAAACTGCCAATCACTTTTTGAAAAAAAATTCGGCTTGAGTTCCAGTGTATAACTTGAACAGACCATTCAGTTGGACTGTCCCTCGCACCGTCGTGGAATATCCCGTTTATTTATTCATGTTACTCCATGTTTAAGTAATTAAAAGCAAAGGGATGTTTCAAGTCCCCGATGTGATTGTGTGAAATTAATTGACACGGACATTCAGGCAAGGAATTGCAATCAAAAAGTAAAGTCCATCGTTGCCCCATAGAAACCGATTGGAAATGTCAGATGCCATTTCCGTGCAACAAGCTAACTAGCGCAGATTCCTCAATACAAGCGCAGTACAAATGGTGTGGATGGAGACTCAATCAGATGTTCATCACACATTCAGAACGTACTGCATGGCAACATCAGGAGCGCACACCCCCAAAGAGCAGCAGACCGAATTTGTGACGAATGTCATGAGAAACATGCCTTGAAGCCAAGAGACTGGGGAAATAGAAGCGACCACAATGACCCAACGCAGATCGTCCTCCACTGGCATGAAGAAAGGCAGGTGTCACTGGTGGTACGCTAGGTCACCGCCCATCTTGTGTTGAACTGGAAAAATATCCCACCCCTGTCCGACGGTGAAGCGCGCGGAGAAACCGCAGTCACGTCGGCTGCTGCTGTACTCCATCGGCTAGTAGCGGCAAGTACTAATTAAAAAGATAGACTGCAGATTCGAAACCAGGTGAGCTTCAGTCCCGGAGGGGACCGATGGAACACACATTGCTAGCGACTCCCGAAAAAAGGAAATGGCCGTCCGGTGCCTTTAAGGATTCGCAGCGACTGACAGTTTACAGTTGTGGTGGAACTTCTTATTATTTTCCATCGTTCGCCAAAACAAGTTTACTTATTCAACATTTACTTCGCATCTGGCAAAACGCAGCATATACACCTTATTCCGTCCCGTAGACGAGTTCCATACCCGGCAAACGACAGTAGATGTTACGTGCGGACATAGTACAGTGGGGTCAAGGAAGCCCTACCCTTGGGGTGAAGATGCACAGTTTAGATTACATGAATGGGTGTAATGCTATATGACTAGCATTCTGTCCGATACATCCCATTAGATTTTCGAAACATGATACGCTGTGTTGCTGATAAACGTATCTGCGTTAACAATAGTAGCGCTGTTATCACCGAAGCGAATAAATGGTTCTTACAGCAATGTAGCCAGGTTGTAAGAAGAAAAGAAAGGCATCAGCAGTGCGCCGGTGCACAGTGAGGACGCTTCACAGCTGCGCAACCACCACCAGTCGCACGTGGGCTAAGAATACTGTGAGAGTCACCCGGTCCCTATACAGAATCGAATCCGCAACCTCGGATTACCAGGCAGGCTTGCGATCCTCAAGGTCACGGGCAGGTAACCAGGTTGTAAGGAATCCGAGCGAGCGGCAGTGCGAGAACACATTTTAACTCACCTTCGGCGTCCGAAACCTTTGAGGTACCGGTGCCAATCACCGCTGCAGCGAATGAGGTAGCGCGAGACGGAGTTGTCCCATTGCTCGCCCGCGATGCGATGTAGACACCTGGATGCTGTGGTCCACCTGTCAGGTGTGGTCCGACGGAATCTTTGGTTGAGGAAACAGTGGCCTCTGATGGAGGAGTACCCGTTCCTAGACCAATCGGTCTCGGGCAAGTGGTGGAAGAAGGGTTCGGAGAAAGAAGTCTGTCGAGTGAGTTAAAGAAAACGATAAACATAATGGCCCGAGTTGTAATAGATTCATCTCTGTGGAAAAATTGGCGACAAAAATCCACTCACCTTTGAGTGCGCAACAGAGTGGCTTCGCCTCCATGTACTGAATCAATGGCAAAGATGTGTGCTAAACCGTCTAAACCTGCAACAATCAATCGAGGCTGATTTTGGTGACTAAAAGGAAAAGAAAACAGTAATAAAACGGAGCCATACTGTGACTTCCATTTCATGTAGTCCACAGATTAGGCAAATTTAGCAAAACTTACTACACGATCGCAGCGACCTTATGCACGCCAGATCCTGTGGTGAGCAGGCCAGTGGCGGCTGATGCTGCTACTGGAAGGTGGTCAGCGACACCACTGACCAAGACAGGGCTACCACGACCAGCACCAGTCCACAAGCTATTCGGTGGGGAGGTCGGAAGTCGAGCGTAAGCAAACGCTCGATCCTGAGCGAAAATCTCTGATACTTGATGTGGTAAGTAGGATGAGTAGGCTTTCAAAGTGCTTCCCATCCAACCAACTATCCCACTGCCCCAGCCACTAGCTGTGGTGGAAATGCTGCCATCTGAAACCAAAGGCGAACCACGATCTTGTGGACCGACGTCATCTGGCGAAATGGATTCTGTATCCTCGCATGCATTGCCACTCCCCTGACTTGTACCGGAACCCGATGAGACAGTTCGCTGGCGAGAGTAGCGACGTTGTGAATGATCAGAACTGCAAACATAAAAGAATGTGAGAGAGGAGTAATCGCAATCACGTTCGGAATAGTCTCAATGTGATAAAGATGGGATGGTCAGAAATACGAAGACACACCAATGAGCCGTTGCGATGTCGATATTCGGATAGGCGCCCTCTAATTAGATGAAACCTTAATGTTTCGATAAAGCTATGCAACGTAGGAGCCCAGCAAATGATATAAGAAAGAAGCCGAAAGAAAGCAACGGCGCATGGGTATTTGACATGGAATAGTGTAAGAAAGACGATGATGCAGGTGGTTCGTATGCGTATGAAGAACAGCCAAGAGATACGTATGTCGCAAACACGCAGAAAGCTTGTGACCGAATCACTTCTGAAGATGGGACTTGAGTTATATTCGGAGCACCGTAATTTCAACTAACAATTACTGTGTCCTTATCACGCAGACAGAAACCTCATGGATCAAAAGTTGATGAGATAAGGCGAGCAAAACAGTAGAGTTCAGAGCACTGCAACATCCGAATTCTTCGCAGAACTAGTTGGAGAGGCAATAAATACATCATTTGAGTCAACTAATCTAGCTTAAGCAACATGATGGGAGCATAGCCTGAAACGGAAATGCAAACCGCAAAGATAATATCCATAGTAGAGCACCCTATGATTACGAAGCGCCGTACGTCCCACGCTTTTATGGTTGATCTAGTTAAATGAGTGGAGCAATTGGCGATGAACAAATGGAAAAGCTGAACAATACCGCATATCATAATTCATCAACGATCATGGATTGGGATAAGGACTCCGATTCAGTGCACATGAGTATGGCTTCATTGCGATCATAAACCGTGTACCATGAGGATAATAGACACAAGAGGACAAATGCAAGAAGAGTGAGAAGCTGGATCAACCAGTCAAGACATCTCATACACGAAGGTTAGTGACACCAGTCAGAAGAACAGCGATTGAATCCCAGGCAGAGGATGTCGAGTTGGGAAAAACAGTGCGGCAGTGCGGAGAAGAAGGCGTATAAAGATACGTTTTGATCACCAGAAGGACATTGACTTAAAACACGTAAATAGGACTGAAACAAGAGTTCTCTGCTCCGACAAAAGCGCTAAGCGTCCCTGAGGTGACCGTGACCTCAGCCTGAGGAGCACATGCGGGAGTCAGCTGATCTTTGGTCAGTGAACACGTGAGCCAATGAGAAAGAAGAGAGGCGAAAACTACGCTGCAGTGGCACTACTGAATGGAACAGAAAAATAAGCAACACTTACGATCGAGTTTCTAGCTTGAAAACGTGTAGCGTTTCCGTGTGGCTAGCAGCCACAAGAAACTGATTGTTCAAACTGAACGACAGACAGCAGATAGAAACACACCTGCGGATAAGAAAAACAGATAGATGTGGAACATTGAAGGTTTCCGAAAATACCAGTCCAAAATGTGAATAGAAAAGGTTTTCTCAAGTCATTCTCCATCTTTTTTCTTAAGTTGGCATTGTTGATACACTGCCGAAACAAATTCGATCAGGGGCAAACATATGAATGCTGCACAGAGAAATAATCTTTGAACAATTTTTTTTACTTTTTAGTAGAAAATCCTCCTTTCGGATAGTGAAAATGCGGTTGAAAACCACATGTAAAAGCGCAGGGGAGGTTTGGATACAGTGCGAACATTTTACGATCTTAATGAACTTCTTGGGAAAGGATGACAATTCAAAAAGTTTGAATTTGGCGATATAAAATTCGCAGACATAAGGAAGAGATGAAGCATCAAAGGCGCTTTGGTAGACGTGGATGAAGATAAACACTTAAAAATGCTGAGGTTGGCCAAAGAATTTAATGCAAAAGATTTATTCATCGTCTCAAAAACTCTGAACTTTATGGGATTCGGCTAAATTAGGCAACAATAAAATCGAAAGCTTCGGAATGTTTACCGATTTGTAGTATAGAAACGAGCAAACATCGAGTTAGTTACCAAGTGAAGCAAATCCATGAATTAACACCGTGTGACGTAATATGGGACAAGTAATCTATGCGCATCTCAGCTGCGAGGTTGGAATATGCAGAGCAGTATGCACGTTCGCACTGTACAAATATTGTAAATACCGCTCAGCCAGATGATTGCCCATGGTCAAAATAAACGCTGGAAGTTTGCAGATGTAATTAAGATTTAACGAAGCGCAGCCATGTTGCCATATACAGTAAAATGCAATATGCTTTCATTATATATGAAAAGCTGGGTTTACGAGGCAGTACTTAAAAACGGGATCACTCAATTGCTGTTCATCGTATGGGACATACACAATCTGGCAATTCCAATCACTGGTGCCTTTGAAGGACATCGTAGAGATGCCGTCCACTTCAGATAGATCATGCATAAATGCAGTGGTAGAGGCTGTCGCGAGAAGTACAGGTTGCATGTGCTTCGATGGGCTGAAAACGGCAATTGTGACTGGAGTTGAGCTATCGACATAGAAGAAGCAACTAGGTTCATAGTAAACTAATACTATGTATTCTGACCTCCACTCAGTGTGATATGACTGCCCATTGCCCCGAAATCTATGTAACGGCTAAGTTGTACGCGGCCCAATAAATTAACTCCGAAGATCGTTGCAGCGCGTCGATAGGGCCGATAATTCACATTCAATGTCAGACGTTGAGGGAAGACAGGAAAATGCACTGGTGGTTTGCACAAAACAAGCTCTATCCATGGGTTTCGGTTAGTCCGCTTGTACAACATGTATACCGATGATGTGATGCGAACAAACACGTCCAAAACCAAGTGTCGTAGAGAGCATAGGGTCAACAGTACGTCCGGATAGGTGGTTAGCGAAACGCTGCACTTGTTCTAGTGTTGATGGGCGTCATTGACTGCGCGGATCAGTAAAATGGAATCACACGGTTCGAAGAGTTGCGTGACGTCGACACCAGTCATGTGCACGATGGTTTTCATCAATCAGAGAACATGTGACCGCGACAAATGATGGATTTCCGATGGCTTCAGAAACAGTACAGCTGCGGCGAAAACGGTTAATTCTGAAGTGTCGATGCTGATAATGGGCCGAAATGCAAAACAAATTCTTGCAAAGCCGAAAATGTTAGTCGATGTATTTCAATTGTTTGCAAGCCAGTATCCGAAAGCTACATAATAATAAAACGAGGGAGGTTTACATACCGCTTGCATCGTCGATTTGATGAAAAATTGAAAATGATGACAAATCCGCATATCAGCCAATGTAAACTGAGGTTCAACCGAGTGTGAGCATGATAAATGGTGCAACGCGGCGTAGAGTACTCCGGAAACAAAGAAAGATGGAAGATTAATACCCACCAAGAAATCTTACCTGGTAAGCCCCCGACGGAACTCCATCAATTTGTCTCCGTGAGGAATAGAGAAGACCCGAATGACGGTGCCTTTTTCAGAGGCTGTGGCAAGCAGCGTGGCGAGTGGGTTGAACGCGAGCGCCGCCAGCAGGCCATCGTGCGCAGCGATGGAGGTGACATTCTGTAGGTATCAACAGAATAGGTACTAGACGAGTCCACGTGATAGAGAGGGAACCTAATCTGAATGTGTGTAAAATATTTTATCAAAGGTGTGAAGAAATCTCGCGGAAAAAACGAATGGTCCAACTATCTAGCCTGGTCGTGGTTATCTAGTAAGTAAAACCGGGCATCTCTGCATTGCTTCGCTTTTCGGTCAGCAATTACATCAGTGGAGGACAAAATCACTCAGCGAGCGGAATTCACAGTAGGACCGCATTTCGCTGGCATTTCGATACCTCCACATTCATACACAATAGGAAAACACACCGGTATCAGTAAGTTCAGTTACAAAAAATTAGGCTGCAAATGCCGCCTGCGGGAGAGTTGCTGGGTCACCATTTGCGGAAACATGGTAAAATGATTAATAACTCAGAGCAATAGTTGAGAATCAGCAATATAATACAAATGAGACTGCTCAATTAGCTGTAAGGTATCCACCATCCTTACAAATATGGTGAATGGCACGCTAGGATTATAGGATTACACACGCTAGAAGTCTGCCATGAAGCGATAAGGAAGGCTTACCTGGAAGTTCATTGCATCAAAAATGTACACCATCCCAACACGATGGGATCCAGGGTAAGCTAGGTAACAGTTGTCATCCGCCGAGGACAACGCAATGACGCCATTGCGATTTGGCGGAGTCTCCTCCACACGATGTAACATTTGCATATCGCGTATATTGTGAATGAATATTCCATCCTCTACACACACCACCAACCTCTGAGAAGAGAAGAGAAGCGTGTTAGGACACGACAGGACATGTAATTAATGTTGGTCTTCGGAACGATAACAACCAGAGTGGCTAGTTTCTAGGAACAAAACGGCTGAAAAATGTACCGGCACCGAATTAGTCATGACAGAAGGAACAACCCAACCAACTATCGCACGACTATCAGTCAGAACGTTTCCACGGTTGGTGGGAGACAGAAAACAGGTAAAATACCTACAGATGAACTAACTAGATACGAGCTGGAGAGAAGCGAATTACTGCAAAGCCATGCAGCTATGTGTAAGACCGGGTGACGAAAGAACGGTTGATTCAACGAAGAAGATCGGTGGCATGCATTGACAGCAGACAGTTAGGAGATGGAGGAAAGAACATGCGTATAAAAACGACAACAGGCAGAGCATTCAGAGCACACAACTCCAACAGCATCGAGTTAAGAATTTTAAGGTTAAGGCGCTTACTTCTGTTAAAAGGAAAGAAGGACGAATGCTCATGGCAAGCATACTTCCACCGCTCCTTTCTGCAGGTGATGAATGGGAGGAAAAGCTGAAGGCGGAGTAGAACCAAGGTCAGTGTCCAACTTAGAGTGATGGTAATGCATGTTCTAATATTCTGTGGACTTTCGGATGAAGATTGTGTGTTTGAAGTTTCTGCCATATTTAGTATCGTGATTGTAGTCTGTGTGCACCGTTATCAGATCAGCAAAGCACAACGCCCGGCCACACTGTAAAGCTGAATGCGTCTTCGCTCCATGGACAGAAAACCGATCTGAGCGGATGTTGGCTCTAAATACGATGGCGATACAGTGGCCATAATTGTGTGAAGTCACATGCTTCTTCATCCAAAGGAGCAGAATATCGCAATAATAGGAATTAAAAAGGGTCCGGTTGATTTGATGAGCCATGGGAGGAGTAAACAAGCAAACCGGCTTTCGTTGGTCCAGTGCAACTTCCCACCAAGAGACAGATTAGACTCAAGCATTTCGGGAGGTTAGGAAATGTGGAACAACCTTGAAAAGCGATAAAAGGGACCAAGTGGCCTTCGCTTTGGACGTGTACTCAGGCCTGAGTGGATAAGTAGTACGTTGCTCACTCAAAACAGCTGCTATATGGAAGACAAGATATGCTTGTAAAGTTAAAGAAAACGTTGCAACCGAGGAAGAGCTGAAAATGTCCATAACACATACATACGGTACTCAGGCAAAAGTCCGTAGCAGATATAGATCAAGAAATTGGTTGAGTTCGCAAAATAGTCAACAAAAATACAGAATGGACAGATAGGGATAAATACGCTACCACTCTGCCAATGAGTACAACCAGACAGTGGAACCCAAGAAAAAGGACATGATCAAATCAATGGGGCCGGTGAGTATAACACCAATACTTGCAATGATGTGTTGGTGAAGCAACCGCAGACCGTAACACATGGGCTGGTACATTGCCAGGGAGACGAAACCTAAGAAGCGGTGGGTACCCAAAATCACGATAGGGAAACTGCATATTAAGTGTGCGAGTCTCACTAAACTGCGGAGACGCATGCAGGTAGGATATGATGAATAGTAGAAATAGGGTATCACCGAAACAAGAGTAAGTATCGCTAAAACACCTGCCAATACGCAAGCCGAAACAGTGGAGGCGATCACGCTTAAGTGGCCTAATGATCAATGGTGAATGAAAGATGGTGGTTTCAGGGAGAGACATAAAGCCAACCATACTACTGCCGAGAGCAACCCGATTCAACTGAATAAGTACGCAATTCGGACTAGAAAGATGGGTGACAATGAAGGGGATAAGTTAGACTGTTAAAAATCGCGGAATATACTCGGAACCGGTCGATAAGCAAAAGGTCCAGTGGTTTGGGAACAACAAAGCCAAATATTTTTGAACAAGGCATGACGCGGTGGTCATCCAAAAGTTTTTGATGGTTAACTATCGAGCATACGTGAAGTGCAATAATCGGAAAAACAACGGCATTGACAACTTCAGATTTTTCGGGTTATTAGCATAAAAAAGTTCAAGTTTACCTAAAATGGCCGAGTGACACAATTCGACTTGTAACCGGCACAAACTTTGGTACTTACATGATGATTCATTCTGACTGCCAATATCGTCAGCGTGTATCGATAGTGACAAATCAGTGTGTTGATTCGAGAATGCGTGACCAGCAGTTTGCGCATGTCATTTTGGGAAACCAAGGTTACCAAGCTTCGATTAAAAAGACGACCAACAAGACATATTGGATCGCCAGCTATCGCAAAGGAGTCGAAATTAATGAAAGCGCCACCCACTTGTCGAAAACGTCTCTGTTATTTGGTCCCCTAGTGTGGACAGCAAACTGTAGCCGGACTTCGTCCCCACTTGGATGGACCTAAGTAAAAAAAGGTAAATGTAAAACAAGCAATCAAGTGTGGAAAATACCGATTGAACAAGTGAATGCATTGTATTTTTCATAACCAACTGGTTTTAATCCTTTGGAATGCAAATGTGAGGTAAGGTGGAGATAGAGCAGCTTTGAAATGCTAGATCGATAACAGGCTTTCCAGTACACACGGAGGTATGTGGATTACAAAAGAGGAAATTTTCGTGGCACACCGCAAATTAGCAGCAGCAACAGCGATTAGACATCACTGCCATGGCGACTTAGATAGCAAGAATCAATAAGAGATGAAAAGAAATCTAGTACAAACGCTAAAGCCTGATGCAAATATTTGGGACTGAAGTGTTTTGACAACAACAGTCACAAACATCTGGCTATCGCACGAAAATAAAGTGGCATCAATAAAACGGTTTCCTCGCGGTTTTCACTGCCGTGCATCGTAACCAGCCTCATACTTAAGATAACGCGGCGCCAGACGCAGTTTAAATGCGCGATCCGATTACGAGACAATGGCAAACGCGTCAATGGTACTCGCTGCGAGCCATGTTCTGTAGTCTCTAACCAAATAAAAGTTGGATCGATTTGACTCCGGCTTAAAAGGCGAGACAAAACTACAGCGTATAGTTTACTCGTCAGTGCGCCATCCTACTTCGGACAAACAAGACAAGGTCTTTTAATCACTTAGCAGCAGCCTATCGGTCGATCGCGACTAACGGATGTATGAGTTGACCAACAATTGATGACTGTGTCAAAACCGATGTCGTTAGGGATGCATTGCATTTAATATCATATCTAAACATATTGCGTTAATTATCATCTTGTGCACATTCATATCCACGAGCGTGATGGATCGCAATTGCTAACCATCAGTCTGTAATCCCCAGCCCAATTGATGGCAGTTGCAATGCCACTGGAGTTCTGCCGTCTGGAGATATGTTCTCGCATCATCCACTGGACTCCTATCGATATCTGCTCCTTATCGGTCTACACCGTCCTGTTTCTCTGGTGGCGTTCAACGTTCGTACTACTTTAAGATAAATCAGTTACCTGCACTTGCACAAACATTGGATCCAATGAGTGCTGACGTGCGCTGCATATCCAAAGCTAAGGTCAATGATCCTCACGCCCGGCTTGTTCACTTGCTATTGGTTACGCGCATCCGCAGACGTTGATGCGGCAGCTACTGGTCAAGTTGAAGTGGGCATCACTCACAGTTCCAAGGCCGGGTCATTGTTGTATGATTGGGTGCCCGTGAGAAGCCCGTCTGACCATACCAACTAAGGCTGATTCACAAAGTAGCAATAGACGCTCTTTGCTTGTGGTTTCCGATTAGGTACTATCTGACTAGTTTTGAAGTTTCCAAGGACACCTAACACGAATGTAGCACGCTAATTCGCAACATTATCAGTTCAAAGATCCTTATTTTCGCATGGAGTATGAATGCACAACTAGGTAGGCTGAGCTCCTCAGAAGCTGAGCTAGGTGATAACTATGGGCTTAACTCCAAACGGGGGGACAACGGCGAGCGTCCGTTGCGCTGAACACCGGTTTCCTAGCAGCAAATGCTTTAGACACGATATGCATTGAAGTGGCTGGTTTACCGAACTACTTTTTCCTGCTGTCAGCTGGGTGGTTCGGGATCTGCCCGTTTCAGTAAAGTGCTCGGCAGCAGTGTTCCAGGACGTAGATTGTCGCCTAGCAAGCATTCTCTGAATACTGAATATTGTATTATAGAGCAAGTAGAAATGAATTCTGTACAACTCTTCCGAAATATGGTGAAAAACGTTATAAAAGTTGTCAACCGTGAATATCGTTGTCGTTCTCATGTAACATTTAAAATATCTGACTTACGATATTTCAGGATTCACAAATGTGATATGTCATCGTAAGTGTGCAGTCGTTCTCTGAATCGAATAGTGGAAAAATACAAATCTAACAACGTTTTGAACTGCTGCACAGATGTTGCCTCAATCACATGTTCAGGCAAACTGTTCCAAATGTTTACCACTCTCCGTTCGAAGCATAGTGGGTGGGGAACACATTTCACATCCGGCACGACAAGTTGGTATCTGTGTCCGCGTGTGCTGCATGGCCCTCGTAAGTGCAGCATTGGCCTTAGCATTGGGAAGTCACCGAGATGTAGAATACGGTAGGTCATAATGAGGTCGACTCGCACCCGACGGTAGGACAAGGTGTAGAGTCCTAGTTTCTCGCACCGGTCTTCATACCCAAAGCCACGTAAACTTGGGATGAGCCTGGTAGCAACGTGTTGGACCCGTTCGATCTTTTGTGCCTCGCCTCGGGTAATCGGAAAGTAGGCGGGCGAACCGTACTCTAGCATTGGTCTAATGATGGAAGAGAAGAGGCGAGTGGTAACCTCTTCAGACCATGTGCCGAAGCTACGTTTGAGCGCCCAAAGCATGCGCAGTCCGTTACGATATAGCCTGTTCGTGTTGTCCACGGACTTCAAATCGTAGCGCGAGAGTACACCTAGGTCCTTCACGGAGGGTGTGAGACATAGCGTTTGGCCGTCAAGGGTGTAGGTTCGGCTGTTACCACCATTCCCCAGGCTCATAAATAGAGACTTGGCTGGGTTGACCGGGAGAAGAACTTCTGCAGACCATGTAGATAGGCGGTTGAGGTATTGCTGAAGTAGGCCACAGTCATCGGAAGCGTCGATTTCTCTCCACATCTTCATGTCGTCAGCAAACAAGGCACACGGCGACCGGAGAAGCTGAGGTAGATCGTTGATGTGGATCAGGAACAGAGTGGGCCCCAGAAAAGTGCCCTGAGGCACGCCACTTGTGGAGGGGTACCAGGCAGGTAGATGGTCGTCGACCTGAACCCTCCACTTTCGTCCAACGAGAAAGTCGCGGATCCACCGGTGCAGTGAGCCACCGACACCACACATTCTGAGTTTGTGAAGGAGAACCTCATGGCTGACCTTGTCGAACGCTTTACTGAAATCGATGAATATCACGTCGACAGACTTCCCCTTGTTTATTGCCTTCAACCACTCATGCCTCGTCACAAGCAGGTTCGTAATGCATGAGCGACCTTGCATAAAACCGTGCTGTGCGGGCGTCAGGACCTCGTTTGACTGTAGCAACTGCAGCAATCCCTTCTTCACGATTTTCTCAGCAACGTTTGCCAAAACAGGTGTCAGACAAATTGGCCTGTAATTGTCTACTTTGCTAGGGTCGTCGCCTTTCGGAATAGGCTTCATCACCGAACATTTCCAGTCAACCGGCAACAAACCTTCGGACAGCGACCTGTTGAAAAGGTCAGTCACGACAGGAGAGAGGATGGTTGAAAGTGACTTGAGAACCAGTGGGTGAAGCCCATCAGGTCCGGCAGGTTTGGTGCCGTCAAGGTTGGCGAGTAGTTGACCTACCTCTTCAACGCCGCAATGCAGACTATCGAGTTCGGTAAAAGTGGTACACGCCGAACTCGGAACAGACACCTGGTTATTCGCAAATACAGAAGAGAAGTGCGCCGCCAACGCGGACGCACGCTCAGTGCTGGAGGTTAGGGGCTGTCCATTCGAGCCATCCAGCACTGGCACATCACCTGCCGGCTTCAGGCGTCGCTTCACGTATGCAAAGATTCTCTTTGGGGCGGTCTTCGCGGCTACTGCGAGCTGCTCTTCGAAATGTCGGCGTTTATTCTTTTTTGCACTGTTGCAGAGGTTCCGCTGACATTTATACCCTTCGTAATCATTGGCAGAGCCAGAGAGGAGGAATTTGTCCCACAGTCTGCGCCGCCTCCGAGCCAGGTTTCCATACTCCTTGTCAAACCAATGAGACTTAATCGGTCCAACCTTCCAACATTTCAATGGCACAAATTGGGAACACAATGATGTCAATCTCTCTTTTATAAATATCCAACAATCTTCCACAGATGCAGCTTGTGACAGAGACCAATCCAGTTGGCTCGCGGCTCGAGCTAGACCATAGAAGTCCGTTTTCCAGTAGTTGGGAGCTGGTTCCAGCGGATGTGAATACGACAAAGAATTCCATAGCAGCTATGAGCACTGAATGGTCGCTTGTAGCCAGGGACTCCAGGATCCTAACGTCACGCACTCGTTGTTCGTAGCTCGTTAACATCAGGTCGAGACAGGACGGGGTTGAACGTGTTGTTATGCGTGTTGGCTGGCATATGTGTTGCGATGCACCAGTTTCAAGTACCAAATCCACGAACTTTGCTTCAACCTCACTATGTCTAGGCATCAAATGCACATCAGGCCATCGTATTCGAGGACAGTTAAAATCTCCCATAAGTAGAAAGTGTGGACGACTCATGTGGGTCCGAAGAATGGGCAGCCAATCCAAACAACGACTCAGGGGGCTGCGATAAACTGCGCCCAAAAGCAGTTCTCCGCGCCTGAGGCGGATGGAGCACCACAGTAGCTCACACAAACCACCGTCACTTCGGTAGGTGCTCACAAGTCTCCCACGAAGGGAAGACCGGATGTAAAGTAAGACACCACCGTGGGCATCCTTTAGTCTATCGCATCAGAAGCACGAGTAACCGTTGAGTTCAAGTTCTTGGGTGTATAACTCTGCATGCAGCCATGTCTCTGCGAGTCCCACTACGTCTGGCCGCTCAGACGCAACAAAACAACAAAGCTCATCGCGCTTATTCATAACACTGCAAACGTTTGTGAAAGCTACTCGCAGGCCGCAGCAGGAGCCGCCGGGCGTGCTTGAAGTGTGAGCAGCCTGTTTATCCTGATTCGCGGATTGTTGGAAACCACCCGAAAATTTACGATACGAAGATTTGTTTCACCTCCCCCCCACCAGTGCCTTCTCAGCTCAATGATGGCAGACTTGAGCCGCTCCCTGTCTACTGGGTCCAGGTCTGGACGAACATGGATCTTCAAACCTTTCAGCCTACTTAGGCGGGACATGATCAGTCTTGGACTGGCTTCGTCCACAAAAGTGATTCTCATAGGCCGATTTTGTTGAGCACCATGCTTTCCAAGACGGGTA